GCATTTAAAAGATGAACGTGGCATTCATCTCATCACCCCAGGACCTGGCTGGGAAGATAACAGGCTGGATGACTGACAAACTATGTGGTTATTGAGACAGAGACATTCTTGAACATGCTTCCCAAGTTAATCCGAGTATCATTATTTCCCCAGCAAGATGGAGAGCCCCAAAGAGGCGCTTAGGAATTCACACGATCTGCTTGAGGCAATGACTTTAGACAAATGGTTTTCTGCAAATGTAGTCCCATCTGTCTTTTTGAAGAATAGAAAGGAGCGAGCAATTTAAACACACACACACACAAACACACACACACACACACACACACACACACACACACAACAAGCAAACGAAAATCACAAATGCATTTGTAGTTTCTCCTAATGTTAATAGCTTGCAGGCTCCACAAGGAACACCAGTGAAGTGGATTTAAATTTCACAAAAATGCCTCTTCCAAGAGCTTGTGCTAGGTGACTGAAAATTTAAGATGGATTGGAAAGTGGTTCTGATGAGGAAGTACCCCGGGAACACCGGGAGAGCCGGATTTCACAGCAGCGCTCTACCCTTCTCTTCCCCGTGCTTTTCCTTCACCTCTCTCTCTCTCTCTCTCTCTCTCTCTCTCTCTCTCTCTCTTTCTTTCTTTCCATTTTCCTTTTCGGGTCCCCTTCTTTCCTATCTGTCTGTCTGTCTTAAGTTACATCCTTGGGTATGTCCCCAAAGCTCTTTGTGTCATGAGTGGTTTCTGTAGAACAAGTAATAGTTGACAGCTTCTTTTCAACTTGACTTAGTCGATGGAGCGCGTGTAAGAGATCAGCAGTGTGTGCTGTGAGCTGTGGTCCTATCACCTCAAACTGTGATTTTGCGAAGTGATAGACAGAGAAAGTCTTGGCGCATTCTGATTACACTACTTAGTGCAGTGGCTTGTGTATTTTACAGGAGGAAACTCTAGGTCTTATTCTTTGTACTAATTGAATCGCCTGGTGCAGTCATAACCCATCAACCAATGCACCTATGTGGCTATTGAGTCAAGCTTCCCATCGAAAGGCTTTACCATTTCGGAACACTTTCAGATATGGCCCTGGGCAGGGCCTCGTCTTCTTGTGTAGGGTGAGCAAGGCACAATTTCACATGCTTGTTCTTGTCACAGGGGCCAAATCCCAAGTGGCTTCCTCCCCTGAGAACAGTTCAATGCACAGAGATGAAGAATGTAATTTATCTTTTTTTTTCCTGTGTGTGTGTGCACACACATGCGCGTGTCCCACGGCCAGGTCAGTGTCGAGTATCTTGTTCTATTGTTTGTAGACAAGGTCTCTTACTGAACCTGGAGCTCACCATCTTGGCTAGATTGGCCAGTCAACAAGCTCTTGGGATCACCTGTCTGCCCTGCCTTCCCCCAAACATGCACTACAGTGCCTAGCCTTTTCTGTGGATTCTAGGGACTGGAACTTGTCTCTCACTCTTACACAGCACCCTTTTCACCCACTGAGCCCTCTCCTTAGCTCTGCCACATGCAATTTCTTAAATCATCAGTGACATGGATTGGGAGAAGTCTTTATAATTAATGGCACAACCTCATACCGAATCTCCGCGAATATAAAGTGTGATTAGTTTATTGGTTTCTGTTGCCTTTGTGCACTACAAAAAGTTCCAATCTTGCTTAATCTCTCCCTGGGAACTTTCTTTCCATACTGCAATGCTTGCCAAGTTTCTATCAGGGACTCGTTTCCCAAGCTGACAACAGGGTGAGTATTAGAAATCGGAATATAAACCCAAGTGTTTAGTGGAGGCTAAGAAGGGACCCAGGAGTTCGGGATGAACGAAAGGCAAGGGAGAAACACATAGTAAACGAGCACAGAGCAGTTAGTGATGTTCCTTATGCATTCATGATGAGAGAGGAAGAAACAAGCATGGTAAGTGAGCACAGGCTTCGCTGTCAGGCTATGGGTTACTCTGTTACATTGTGTAACCCTGCACTTTCCAGTGAGCTACGGAAAGTCAGCAACAAAGAGGCCAAGTGTTCGGTACCTAGTGTTTTGTGACTCTACCTACTCCAGTGTGTCTAATTTTTTTTAATAGGAACAAAAGTGGAAGACCCCAAGACATGTTCCAAATAACTGATTTTGAAGTTGTTCTTTGTTTTGTTTTGAGGGAGCTCAGTTCAGCCTCCAGATGACTTTATGAGTTCAGGACTCACGGCCGAGAGAAAAAGATCGGACTTCAGCTTTAGTGAAAGCACTGACTATAATTTAGGGCATACAAAATTCAGAGATTTGTTTAGATTCAATGTTGTGTGACTATCGAAAGACGCTATTCATTTCAAAACTATAAATGGGGGAACGTATATTAATATGGAAATGGATAGGAGAGGGTTTATAATGATGTGGGGAATGACATGCTAAGCTTTCTATCTGATGTCTCATCATTTACCGACCTAGGGACAGGGCAGTGTCCCTGTGCACTTTTTAAAGTCCCGCAATGGCGAAGCGGGCTTCTAGGTCCACGCTTAGCTGTGTGTTTCTTGGGGTATGCTGTTTGTTATTGCTTCATTAAAAATCCGTCTCTGTCACTCTACAGTGAAAGGGGGATATGTAGCTTCCAATTGTCTTCTCACTTCTGTGCTATTACTGCCGAAGGCTGCCAAGTTCATTTTAGCAGTAAAACATGAACATAAGAAAGTAAGGGTCTTTCAAGTCACTAGAAGTTTCTCCAAAAAGTCATTCAAAGTACAGCTATGTGTACAGCAGCATGATTGGTAACAGTCATGTGGAAGCCATCCAGATGCCTGTCATACATACAGCCGCCCCCCCTGCCCCCACTATGTATGTGAGTGTGTGTGTGAGTGTGTGTGTGTGTGTAGAGTGCATATTTGTGGGTGGTGGGGGAAGGCAGGTGGCAGGTGGCATGTCCCTACCTTCATTGCATACTTTTGCCTCCAGCACTACCACTAGACACATTTCTTTGACAGAAGCCACCACACCTATGTTGATTTGTTAGAGCTGTCCCAGAAACAAAGACAAAAGTCCTTGAGGACGAGGGATCTCATTACAATCACCTCCTCCAAGCAGAGGCAGCCTCTCTCAGTGCCAGTGTGGTGGCCTACGACTGGATTGAGGGCTTCGATTATCCTTATAGAGCTGAATAAATTGAGGCCTAACAGCTCACATGACTGAGTGGAGTCGGGAGAGGCGAGATGCTGGGATGATTACACGGGTGAGTTCTGGGTCCTGCCTAGGGTTGAACTGCAGCCCTGGGTGAGTCACTCTGAGTAACGTACACCCGCCTTCCCTCAGTTGTCTCAGCTGGGGAACAGGAATGGGGACAGAACTCCATGCCCACATCTGCTGGGAAGAGATTAGAAAAAATGAAGTGCTTAGTGCAACCCTCGGGAAAGTATTACATTAGCTAATATAATAGCTAGTAATATGCTAGTATATTTGGTATATTATGTGATTCCCATGTGGCTACCACACTAGAGACAAACGGTCCCAGCAAGCCCAGTCCTAACTGCCCTCTGGAGCACAGCACCGCACATGCAGAGGACCAAGTGAAGACCCTCACGTGCATCAGCTCACTTCACGAGATGAAGAAGCCCAGGCTCCAGGGTTTGTGTTCTGCTTATTTGGGAGTCAAACTAGCCCCTATCCTGGGACCCAGTCCCTATCCTGGGACCCAGCCCCTATCCTGGGATCCAGCCCCTATCCTGGGATCCAGCCCCGATCCTGGGATCCAGCCCCTATCCTGGGATCCAGCCCCGATCCTGGGATCCAGCCCCGATCCTGGGATCCAGCCCCGATCCTGGGATCCAGTCCCGATCCTGGGACCCAGTCCCGATCCTGGGATCCAGCCCCGATCCTGGGATCCAGCCCCGATCCTGGGACCCAGCCCCGATCCTGGGACCCAACCCCGATCCCGGGATCTTGTGACACTGAAGGGTGAGAATGCCTGTCACCGCAGGGTAGGGCACATGCTCCTGTCATGTTAACTAATGCTACCAGAACGTCCAAGACAGATGTTTTCATCTGCAGAGACCAAGACTCCTTACCGATAAATTTAAAGTATTTGTAAGTTTCTTAAAGTACATGGAAATAAAGAAACTGCTGCCCTCCAGCCTGGAACACTGCTGCAAACAGGAAAGGACCGGGGCTTTCTGATGTCTCCAGGACACAGGGAGAAGACGCCTTTCATTCGCATTGTTCCCATGGGTGAATGGGTGCTTTTATAATTATTTAAATAGGAACCAGCAGGCTAGGTTTCCTTTCAGTCTGTTCCCTTTTCTTAATAATTGTAATAAGAATTTTAAAACAAAATAAAATAAATGCCCTCCTGTGAACACTGACCATTCTCACGCTGCGAGTGTTTTGATTTTGGAAGACAATGTCTTCATTTTTCCATATTTGTTATATTAATGTATCCCACTTGGTAAACTAAATGTTTACTGAAAAATGTTCCTCTCGTACCGAGAGCCTTCTAGGATAAACTGCTGCATCGTATAAATTAAAGATGAAGGATCCTGAAACAGAAGTCGTCCTCCACCAGAGACCCATAAATAAGGCAGGAGCTAGTGCTCTGCTATTGTGTTTTTGGCATGTATCCGCCACTGGTGTTTTCTAGGCCAGGGGTTTGTAACCTATAGTCAAAGGTTGGGGGCGGGGGCGTCTATGTAACCCTTGCAATTTATGCAAATTGCACAGTTGGAATATTTTCTGTCTACACCTCAAAGGTCCTGCTAAGTCTTTAAGTCAGGAGTCACTGTTTTGAGATGAAGTAAAGCTAACACCAGTGTCAGGAGTCACTGTTTTGAGATGAAGTAAAGCTAACACCAGTGTCATCCTTGGTCTCACCTCCAATGTCAATACGATATTCCAGAAGCATGCCATAAATTGTTGCTGCTTGCTTGACAGAGGACTAGGATTTCATCTTAGTAAAGATGTAATGTTACCATGAGAAGGGTCACATTTCTAAAAGATTTCTGCAAGTCCACGATGCAAGCAGAGGAGCTCACCTGAGCAGGGGTCCAGGCTGGAGTGCTGTTGTGTTTCTCTTCTGCGTGATGTGGTGGAGGTGGCTTCTCTTCTCTGACCTTTATCTCTTCATCTGTGAATAAAGATTTCAGCGCAGTTAAGTCAAAGATGCCTGCAGACTTTACAATGATCGTATCCCCTGAGAAATGTCACTCAACCGTCCGGGCTCTCTTCCACAAGTCTAGGATATATTGTGCAACAACAAGGGATGTGCTAACATCATTTGAAAAATTACGTGGGGGGAAGATCATCGTTTAAGAAAATCAGAGTTTAAGAATACGACAGTGGCTGATGACTTTGCAGCTGTGACCTGAACACTAGGTTCAAGGATATAGGATCCTTCTCCCAATTTCCACGGAAGCAGTCTGCTCTTGCTCTGTTTCAAGGACTGGATTTCTGGGCAACTTTTGGGCGGGGGAAGGAATGTTTCTTGATTTTGAACAATGTGTTAATATCATATGAGGGGGGTGAGGAGAAAAAGAAGAAATTGGGTTAATCTTGGAGTTTAAAAGTCTGACCTTGGGTAGACTGTGTATGATAAATAATTCAGTATTCCTATATATCTGCAAAATATGATGCCGTAGTTGAGTAAAAGGGGCTGTAGCTCGTTCTCTTGGTTAGGGTTTCTGTTGCTGTGAAGAGACATCATGACCCCAACAGCTCTTTCAAAACCACCACACTCTTCTTCTAGCTCTTAGAAAAGGCCATGCCAGCCAGCCGAGTGCATCCTCAAGGGCTGGAAAATCTCTGCAGGGGGAGGAGTTAGCGGTCTGAGAAGGACAGATGTTCTAACGGACGCTACAAGCGATCACGGTTTAGAACTACTTTACTGTTTTCAGAGGTGAATCTTAGAAAAATAGTTGTCAGTAGGAGCCGAGTGCAGGGGAAGGGGTGGGGTTGGAGGGACGGTTCCTGACAGAGAACTTGCCTAGCATGCAAAGTATGCACAGATAAATAAAAAATAAAGAAGAATGGGTTTCCCCGGTGAGATGCTGAGGACTCCACTGGGAACAGGTTCTAGCAGAGACTTCCCGGTGCCTTCTCCAGACTGTCAGAAACTGGGAGGCAGGATTTAGGATGAGATTAGCAGGCGTGGTAGCACACGCCTATAATCTTAGCGTTGGAGGTGGAGGGAGGAGAAGTTCAAGGCCACTCCAGGCTGAGGAGCACCCGCCTGTGAGGTCAGCTGTTTCAAAGAACCGTGGGAAACGATGAATAGAGACAGAGTTACTAAGAGCTCACCAATTCCAAGATCCACTCTGAATAGCACAAAAATTCGTTGATATTTTACTTTGTACATCCTGAACTTACTCTTTGACGTTCTAGAGGTTGTTAAACCTCTCTGTGCATAAGTTACATGGATAACATTGTGATTCGTGATCTCTGTATGTTGTAGAGATTCATCCTCACAACATAGTAAAGTGTATCTCTCTATATCTGATATAAGGGCAAATTTATCTCGTTATTATATAACTATTTCTCACATTTTCTAAGCATTTTCCCCTTCCCTGAGAGATTTCTGCTTACCCTTTCAAACACTTCAGAGACACACTAGGTAGGTGGATCAGGGGACAGGGAGCCAGGTAGGTGGGTCAGGGGACAGGGAGCCAGGTAGGTGGGTCAGGGGACAGGGAGCCAGGTAAGGTGGGTACAGACGGTTCTGGGAACTGGGGTTTTGCCAGCAAGAAGGCAGTGGGTGCGGCAGTGGCGGACTGACTCTGTATCCACCCTCGTCTGTTTTCTTCTCAGTGGAGGAAACCGTGAAAGCTTTGCTTTTTGCTTTTTGTTTTCCTTTTGTCCTCCCTTATAATCAGATTTTCCTGTCAGCCAGCCAAATCCAAATCCAGAATGAGGTCAACTGCTTGTCTCTCTCTCTCTCTCTCTCTCTCTCTCTCTCTCTCTCTCTCTTCTCTCTCTCTCTCTCCCTCTCTCTCTGTCTCTCTCTTTGTTTAGACTTTTAGACAATAATTTATTATGACGAAGGTTAGCTGGGTGTGCTGGCACAAGCCTTGACATGCCTCTAACCCTGGCACTCTCCTGTCTGCTGGATCTCTGTGAGTTAGAGGCTAGCCTGGTCTACATGTGAGTTTTAGGCCAGGTAGAGTTAATGGTGAGAATCTGTCTCAAAAAAAATTTTTTTTAAATTAAATAAACTAAAAGTATGTGAAGACTCCCTCTCCCCATGGTGGGGACATGGGGACATGGGCTGTTTGTGGCTTTATCTTCCAACTCTGCCTAGTATGCCTAGCAACAAATTTATTTTTCAATTGTTGAGTGAAGAAGAGGAGAAGTCATTTCCTATTCTTAGTTAAAGACGAAACGAAGAATCCCATTCTTTCGGGCATCCTGACAAAGTGAGTATCCATTGCCTGCCTCTGGGAAAGGCAGCTGCACTTGACCCGGCTCCACATTGGCTTCACAGCATGCTGTGTTCTTGCTCCCTTCCGTTACTAGTTTTTCCTTTCCTCCCTAAAACGCAAACCTGTATTCTACAACATCAGCTGCCCAAATCTTTCCAGGAACTCACTCCTAGCAGAATGGATTCTTAAGTAATTATGCAACAGGAAGAAATTAGACTCCAGCTGATCAAAACTGATGTGTCAGAGTGATGGATCAACAGGACGATAGCTCTTATCGCTTAAAGGGTTGTCATGTTTATGAAGAGAGATGTTAAAAGCCGGTTGCACAACCTGGTTGTGAGATAATCCACTTACAGCTATGGAGGGAAAACCCACAGTTTAACACGTGTTATTCACAAGGTCTAAGGCAGCTGAATAATCACTTTCTGCAGCATTTAGTTTAGTGGCTCATAGTGATTACTAAATTTGGAATTTGAGACATGCTGTGAGAAGTTGAATTTTTTACATATTGTAATATTAGTAGATTACACATGTTTCTCTCTATATATGTCTTTGTTATTTACGCACACACACATGCTTATAAATAGCATATCCTTAGGATATAGGAGTCAATCTAAAAGTTACAGAATTAATTTATTTTATGAGGTTTAAGAAGGGGGTTAGTTATGTGTGCTTCATCATATTTATCATTGAAAAGTACTAAGAATGATTTTTATTTCTAGATTTTATGCTCATTATGTTTGCCAACAGCTTGTTTCATGTAGTTTTGTTCTTGTTGTTGTTTGAGACAGGGTTTCCCTGTGTAACAGCCCTGGCTGTCCTGGAACTAGCTCTTGTAGACCAGGCTGGCCTTGAACTCACAGAGATCCACCTGCCTCTGCCCCCTGAGTGCTGGGATTAAAGGTGCATGCCACCACTGCCCGACTCATGCAAAAGTATTTAGATGGAATGAATGTCACAGAGAACACATGTAAGCATTTCAGGAAAATGTCATTTATCATTTAACTGAGCTAAAGACATGCAAATCTCCACCATGTGACAGCTTTCCCTCAGTTGCATATTATTTAAAACAGCTCAGGTAGTCAGACCGTCAGGACTATCTCAGTGTCATAAACACTGTGTATTTGTATACACTAGTTCAGCTTTGAACAATGCAAATAGTGTCTAGCTAACAGAGTTTGTAGCTTTAAGAGAAACATTGTGGCATTATGGCTTTGGGAATGAATAGTCCTTGCTTCTTCAAATTTGGTGTTTTTTCTTTCTTTCTTTTTTTTGGGGGGGGTGTGTGACACAGTCTTGGCTATGAAGCCCCGGCTAATCTCAAATCCACCATCCTGTTTGAGTCTTTTGAAATCACAGAAAGATTTCTTGGCTAACAGTTTTGATGGCTGTTAAACCTGCACCAGTTGTGAAAAAATAAAATGCTGAAATGTAACAATGAGAATACCAGAGTAACCAAGAAATAGAAGCTTATTTAATTACCACATTAAATATATAATGTCTACTCTGATTTTTTTTTTTCCTTTTAAACCGACTTGTGATTGGTGTGGTGTGGTGTGTTCTGCTTGTTTTTTTTTTTTTTGTCAACTTGACACAAACCTGGATATATCTGGGAAGAAGGAATTCTGACCAAGAAAATGCCTCTATCAGATTGGCCTGTAGGCAAGTCTTTGGGGCGCTTTCTTGATTGGTGATGAATGGGGGCGAGGTCACCTCACTGCTGGCTGTGCCATCCCTGGGCAGATGATAGAAGAAAGCAGGCTGAGCAAGCCATAGAAGAAAGCCAGTAAGCAGCACCTCTCCACGGCCCCTGTTGAAGTTCTTGCCTGTAGGTTCCTGTCCTGGCTTCCTTCAGTGGACTGTGACCTAGGACATGTGAGCCAAATAAATCCTTTCTTCCCCAAGTTGATTTTGGTCATGGCATTTTATTACAGAAATGGAAACGCTAGCTAAGGCATACTATGTACTTAATTTCGAACCCTGAGGTTTTTCAATTCATTTTACTCAAAGGGTATTTTTTTCATTTGTTACTACATAGATTTGAAAAATTACTTCTTTACTGATTACATAGAACTAAATTTTAAGTGAGTACAGATACGTTCAATTCATATCACAAATATTTCTTGAGTGATTTGTATGAACCTAAAACACTGGTTTGGGTGCTGTGCATTCTATGGGAGGGTGGCAGAGGATACATACATGATTTATGAAAGAAATTCATAGTATTAAATTTGGCCATTAACTTTCACGGTGCCATGGTTTGAAGCCAGGGCTTTGTGCACCCGCTCCACCCTGAACTACCCCTCCCACCCCTAGTGTGTTATTCTTGCTTCCTTGTGTCCGAAACTAAGTTGCTCATTTAGTTGCCGATAGTCAGCTAAGGCAGGAAGGAATATGTATACACGCTTGGATAAATAGCATGCCAGGTTTAAATCTATTACACATAAAAAGCCTTTAAAAAAAAATCCCTCTCTGGAGAAGAATACAGTAGTCACATCTTAATGGCAACAGAAGTTTAGCCAAACAAAGCTCTGTTGACTAGAATAGCTTCCTTCCTTCTAATGTGACCTAGATGTGTGTGCCAGGCACAATTGTGCTCGTGGTCACATTTAAAACTTTTTAAAATTATTTAGTGTGTATGTGACGGCTCACACGAGGAGGCCAGAGAACAATTTGCACGAATCTGTTCTCTCCATCCCCCACATGCAGTTAC